CTTCTTGGAGAGCCCTATGCTAAGAAATCCTCAGAAGATATTTATGAATGACTGACGTGTAGGTACCTTATGAATGAAAATAGGGAAAAGAGTAATGCCTCTACCAAAGTAAACGCAGTGATTGGCAAAGAGGCTAGATTAACAGCTGTAAAACTTCTATTCTTCATGTAAAGAGCAAAAGCCAGCAAACATGCTGCTAGGAAAGCCTTCTCCTTAAGCACCACGCGGTAATCCTGACTCCTGATCAGGAAGAACTCTTAACTAGAAAGGTGGGGTCAGTGTTTTATTCACTATCTGCCTTGCTTTTCAAGGGGGAGACGGGGAGATAATGATTATGCTGTGTTGGGGATGTCATATTAAGAGGCTTGAAGTCTAATATTAATCAAGCCTGGCAAATCCAATTAAATAACCCCTTGCAACATGGCTGTGAAACAACTGCTGACAGACAACCTAGAAGGGAAAGCCAGCTCCTTATTTCCTACCCAGTGGAGGACCCACCTGAGCCTCGTGCTGTTGCAGCACTCTGCCATTGTGTGTGGATGCAGCACGCACCCCCCAGCTGTTTCAACAAGACTCCTGTTTGTGCTCATGGAAGACACCTCTTTCCCCCTTTGCCACCCCTCCGTGGGTTCATGGGAACCACACGAAGGAACTATGCAGGTTCTAACCAATCCTTTTCCTGAGGACACCCCCGGTAAGCAGCCTCCCATTAATTGTGACCTGGTGGCAGTAACCAGGAGAGCAACCCAAGTCGCTTTACCAGAACGCACGAGATTGACGTGGGTTTTCACCCACTAGTTCTGCCTCAGAGAGGCACAGGACACCCAAGGCTAACTTTAATTAGGAGAGAGGTATGTCAGAAATGGTACTAGTGCTCTGTGATTCTAAGGAGTATTCTTATATTTTCAGTCACATTTGAGTGGGACAATAGTATTTTTCAGTATGACCCAGTGTAACATTACTACTATTGAAAGTTTCCCTAATGCTCCTCCTCCCAACCGTACCTCAGCCAACCCTGCATGCTCTGTTAGCCTGACACCTTCTTCCCCTTCAGGGATTAATTCCCTCTACACTGATGCCACAACTTGACTGGGATTTCATTAGCATTTCCTTTGCAGATAAAATTTCCTGCTCTTTTCTAATCCTTGCAGATGCTAATTACTGAACACAACCGTACCTTTTCGATGAGGTTCAGGTTTGCAACCCTCCAAGCTCGCATGGATTTTACAAAGTACATGCTAAGATTTCCTCCTCTACCCCATGAGATTTTTTTTAAAAGAAAAAAAGAAGTTTAAGTGAGGTGGGGGAAGGTTCCATACAACTAACACCCATTCGCCCCAGCAGGGCTGTTGCCACCCCAGGGTCTGCAGCTGCCTCTCCTCAGCCCTCCTGCACAGCTTTTGAAGGGTTTCACTCAATAAAGGCCATCTGTGGCACGCTCTTGAGCTGCTCAGGAGGAGGATATGAGGATGCTGGACTGCGGGGCTGGAGCCAGGCGGGCCGGGGCCTGGTGCAGAGGGCGCTCCGGGCTGCCACGCTGTACCCCGGACCACCACGCTGCGCCCCGGACCAGCCCTCCTCTTGTCACAGCAACAGCCCAACATGAGCAACATTTGAACTATTGTAGTGCAGAAAGCACATTTATACAGAAATACATGAAATATGAAGTTATAAGTCACAGCAGTGATTACTTAATGAGCTAAAGCAAAGCAATGCCGTACTGCCTGGGAGTAAAGCTCCCATCCCCAGAGCCCACCCAGGGCCCACTGAGCTCCCAGCCTCTTTGCAGCAGGAGCAGAAGTCTCCAAACTGGGTTTTCAGCATACGTACTGGCAACTGTGACATGGAAGGCCGGTTCCTGTGCAGAACCCTGCGGTATCACCAACACAGACACTTTCAGCAACACACAGTTTCTGCTGCGAAACCCTCTGGGTCGGGTACACAGGGACAGAAAACCCAAGGCTGCAAGCACAGCCCAAGTCACCTGCTCAGTGATTTCACTCCTCACAGACTGGGTTTGCTTTTTTCATCATTTCCGAAGCTCCAGTCAGCCCATTAAAAAGAAGTACCTTCTCCAAATACCAACATGCTGTGATGCCATCGCTGGCACGCGCAAATTCCTTCTTCTACGAAGGAGCAAAGCCAAAGCTCCTAAAAAACCAGTGTTTGGATCTGAGTGCAGCACTAATTTGTTTGGGTTTTTTTTTTTTTTGTTTGTTTGTTTGGGGTTTTTTTTAACCTGATACCCTTAAAAAGACAATTCAACTCACAGAGATATGTAACTTATAATACCCACATTCCCAGCAGCCCTTCTCCCACTCATGGGAGCAAGCAATCAGGAACAGGCAGTAAGCGAACAGAGGAAAAAGTCAGCATTAAATGCAAAAAAAATACAAACCTCATTTTAGTCAATTTTAAAATCAAAACATAAAAAAATGATTTTACATTGGCAACACGCTCAGAAAAAATTATATCCCCAAATCCCACCCGCCCAGCACCTGACCCCATGGACCACTCGAGCTCCTAAAGGCCTCGTTAGTGCTGCAGGCTGGTTCCTGAACCAGACCAGCTCCCTGTTTCATACATGTTTTCTTCTTTAACACCCCTCTAGCTCCAGCCTGTGGCAAACCACAGTTCATGAAGATGCATGCCAGGAGACTGCAACTACTTACCTAAAGAGGTGAAACAGACAGTGGGCATTTGCCAAAGTACTCCCACCACTTGGAGCAGTCCATTTTTCAGGACATTCGGTGTCAGACTGAGAGGCTGAACAGAAGAGGAGGAACAGGAGAGTAAAACCTTTCCTGTAAGCATTTCTGGAACGTTTATCATAGTTGCACTGAGATATTCATAGTCCTTCCATTACTCTCTGAAAGGAAGTGGAGAAAGATGGTGTCTTTCCTTAAAAACTCAAATGAACAAAGTGGGAAGTTTGTTCAAACCTGGAAAATGCTCCTGACAACTAATACTACTAGATGAAAAATTACCAAAGTATTTAAAAACATTACCTAGTCAATACAAACGAATTAAAAATGTGAAATCATGATTGGAAATACAGTGGGGGCTGTAGGAAGGGAAGTACAAATAATACAGTCTAGTGCTAAACTCTGGTAATAGCCAAAACACAAGAAAGTTCATCAACAGCATACTTAGAGGAGTCTTACAAAGCTTTATTAAATAACACAGATAAAAATTATTATTATTTACATCCAAATTGTCAATTTTAAGTAGTACAGCATGTAAGGCACAACTTCCCCAAAACCAGGCAATAAGTTACACAAGTCTCAATATAATACCATGTAACGACGTTGTTTCTCTGCAATACTGCATGGAACCCGAACTGTATGCCACAAACTGCGCCTGCATTCCCTTCCTTGGACCCTTCGCATGCACAGTCCTGCACACAAGATGTTTTGCATGAAATTCTTTGTTCTTGGTCACAGAACAACTGTGATCACTTTCATTACGGTCCTTAGGAGAGTTCAGACAGCTGGAATATTCTTCACAATTAAAAATGTGATACCTGTTACATGTAAACAAAGCTCTTACCCGATAGCTGCAAAATAGTGGTTACAGAGTAGAAGTTACTGCCATTATGATTATAATCCTCAAAATAAAGGATTCCAACTGAGATACTTTCCCCTCCCCTATTCTCAGGGAAGTACATCAGGATTAAGAACTGGAACAAAGTTTTTCTTCTCAATTGTTTAAAATTAATTTGAAAAAAGTTCAAGTCAGCGTACTTCACTGCCACCCTGTTTAGAAAGAAAAACACATCTGAGCACACAGTGATCAGCCTGGCTTAGCAGAGTACTTTCTGATGTACCCGCAATTTTGCGTTTTATATCTGCGTGTCTTAGCCAGTCAAGAAGAAAACCAGAAAGTCAACCAAAAAAATCCCACCTTAATACTTACGCAGTTAAATGCTACACTGTATTTTACAGACTTACAAACGAGCACTTGTTCGTAGGATCTTATGGTACAAATATTCCAAAGTCTTGTCGCAGCAGTAATATCTTACTGTATAGCTTAAATGAGGATTCGGGTGTGGCTGTTATCAGTTTGTACGCCAATTCACCAGAGACAGGCAGGTCGAACCAACTGAAAAGGTCACTCATCCTACATCTGAAATAAGCCCCTTACTTTCCAGTGCACCAGGTTGACTAGTGGTAATAAAAGGAGGCTCAGTTTCCGCTGAGGTACTTCTGTGTGTGAAAGGAGCTATGTAAATGTCTTACAGTCACATCAGAACACAGGTAAGATAACTGCCTTCAATTAAAAAAAAAAAAAAAATTACTACCAGAAGAAAGGTCCTCTTAGAAGGCACATGCTTTCACATTCCCAGTCCACAAAAAGTGCTTACAGTAACAAGAAAGGAATACTGCAGTTGTACCCAAAGGAAGCTGCACTAAGATAGTTTCGTTTTTCTTTTTTGTTGCTGCTGCAAAGAAACCCTGCAAATTATTCACAGTTGTTCCAGCATTCCTTATGTTAAACCAGCAAATTATGGTGATGAATCACACTGTAAGGCTAAACCTAAGTACACTTATCAGTGCAGTACATTCCTGAGTCTTTGGAACTCAAAATAAAAAACTAGTTCTTTGAAATATACAATCCTTCATATTTTTGGCTCATATTTGGCCTGTTTTTTCTATTCCCCTTTTTCAGAAAGTCCACTGAAAAAGTTAATTTTTACAAAAAGTAAACAAAAAGCTATCATCACTATCACTTGGACATAAGCTCTAGTCGCCTGAAGAGTGCAAGAAAGCTAGCTTCGCATAAACCCTGCTTTTTGTCCAGTCATCCTGTCAACTGAGCACAAAACAGCAGATAAAGTAAGTTTTAGAGAACTGAAGCACTGACATAAAATAAAGAGCTCTAAATGCATTAAAAAAAAAAAAAAGGCCAGTTACATTCAAGAGATGAATTATACCAAAACTGTGAAAATTCTTAAATTTGCTATTGTTAAAGGCACAGACTTTTTTTGAATTTTGCTTTCCAGCCCCAGTGCATGACGATGAGTCCTGGTGCCATTAACGCGAACCATAATCAGTGCTCCAGAGTGTGGATGATGGGCTTGTTTTCCTGCTTGAGGACTGAGGACTGAAGGAAAGCACAGGTGATGCAGAGAAACCTAAAACACAGGGAGGAAGGAGAAAAGAAGCCAGTCATACTCAGGAATGGTGGAAGAAGGAAGAAACAAATAACTGCTGTTGATCATCTGCTGGTACACCTGGCAAGTGAGGCTAACGATCCATTCAAAGTGAAATAATCACTGTAGCTTATTTCTTGTTGAAAAGATGTCTTACAAGCATCACAGTTTTGTAGGTCTTCCTATTAAGGACCTTAAGAACTAAGTCTGTTGACTAAGCACAACACATTTCAAATCAGCAAATAACTTTCAGTTTGAATTTGCCTTATTTTACCTAAAGTGCATGTGCTTTTACAAGCAGGACTGCAGCTCACCGTAACTTAAATACATCTGTAATGTGAATTTTGTTTTAATAACCACTGTTGACTACAGACCTTTTGAGTGAATGGGTATTTTATACATATTTCTGAGAGTTTGGTTCTGCAACACTGCAAGTAGGTAAAATAGGGAATAAATATGATGTGAAGAAGTACAGATAAAACATGACTGCAGGATCAAAAGCAGTGAAGGAACAGACTGTTCCCTAAGCAACACAAAGTCTCTGTCAGTCTCCTGGCCTTTGCCCCCCTTAACATTTGCCCTTCCCCATCTCTCCCAAAAGCCCCAGCTCACAGTATCTCACAGCACGCTGGCAGCATGTGCTGCAGCTAACTCCATGCCATACGGGCTGACTAGCCAGCCAGCTGCTGCCAAGCACACTGTTCCAGCAGCTGAGCTCTGCGTTACTTTCCCTCAGTAGGAGCAAAACGGCAGATGTCTCTCCTCTACCTGTCTGGCAATTTGCATGAATTCTTACACTTTTAACTCATTCCCTATTTTGGGGCTGAAGCTGGCTTAGAGTTTCAAAAGAATCAGCAATGGGTAAAGGGGGCAGGAGGAACAAATTTCCTATGAACTGGGACAGTGCTTGCTGTAATATAATTCAGTATACAGGCTCTCACAGTCACACCTCCCTCCATTCAATTCCAATGCAATAGCTAGAGTAATCAATTAATTCACTTGTAATGGGGTAACAGCTGCTTACTGTTAGGGCTGTGTTGAGGAGTTGTCCTTGGAGTAAATGCCGGATGACTGTGCTGTTCTTTTGGTGAGAAAACTGCATGATAGGCTGCAAAACATTGTAAAAAAAAAAAAACAAAACCCAAAACCAACAAAGTCATTTCACATGGAAATTATTTCTTTATATCTTACAAGTAAGAAGTTACGGAAAATATACTTCTGCAATCTTTCATCCTCTTACCTATAATCATAACAGCTGTCCCTGCTAATAGTGCAAAAAGCGTGAAGAACATCACTTGATAAGAATCAAGAAAGTGCTGGAACAGACTGGCTCCATCTGTAAGATTACGAGGAGACAATATTGAGTTAACAGAGCATTGGCTGTAAGAGTTAACAGTTCTTAACTCAAACTGAAATAGCCCAAAGAAGGTTTTTATTTATAGCAAGTAAACATAATCAACTTGGACAATATGACTTCAATTCTAGTGACTATTTCCAATGCAGTGTTCAAAATTTGCCAAAAAGCAGTTTAAGACATTGACATACAATGTCTTAAGCATGTTCTTTACTTTCTCAGCCCCAAAATGCTAATCTGTATTCACAATAACAAGGCATGCTTGAGAATAAACAAAAACAGAGAAAAAAATTACTTCCAGACACCTCAGCATTGGGATGTTTATGCAAATTTCAACAGACACCCAAAAGGAAAATATGTTCAGCTTCAGTCATAATGAGTCATATTCAAGACTTCTGGTCACAGCGAGCAGCTTACATGTCAATGGTAACACCAGCTGCCAGCTCATATTTTAACACACCAAGTTTTATAACCTCATGAACATGAATGCAAGTTAGAGGTTTATTGTGGCACATGAAGTCTAGAGGTAAACTTACGTCTCACTGGTGCACTGGTTCTGTCAGTCAAGTAAATCACTGTCACTGGGATACTGATAGACTGGTCAGTCATAGGACTAGAGACAGTTAGAGTGGTTGATAAAGATCTCTGGCTTGAAACTCTTGGATCAGACAGACTAACAGTGTAGACTACATAACTAGGCAGCCCGTAGGATTTCTCTTTCTCAAATGCCTTCACTGTTGGTGACCCACATTTGACCTGCCGAAGAAAAAAACACCAGCCTGAAATAGACTGCTGGGGAAAGCACAGCACACACCCGTATTCCAGGCCATGTCAGAAATATATTATTCCACAGAAACACAGAGCAACTCACCCCTCAGCAGGAGCTGGCCTTGGCTGTACCTGTACAGTGACACCTGCAGCACTTCACCCCTGTTTATTGTTAAGGTCGTGCTACTAACTGCTGTTTCTGCAGGTCTGGGCTAACCCCACACAGGCAATCAACTGAAGCTACGGGGCTACCTGAACGGTGGGCAAGAGGCTACGCCTGACACCAGGCAACAGGCACATCTTCTGCTTCCCCCCCTGAGCCGGTACCACAGCCCAGCTAGCACACAAGCCAGCCCGACACATTCTACTCCTCCAAAACAAACAGGAAAACTGAGGAGGAATACGTTCCCAGATGAGGATTTCCATCACCTCAGGAACAACTTTGACACCGTAAAGGTGGCACAGAGTGCCTTTGCTTACAAAGTTGCTTTCAACTGTTAGGTTCCAGCAATACACTTACCTCCAGGGTATCAAGAATGTCAGTGGCACCAAATATTTTCACATCAGAGCTTGTGTAATGATTACTTAAAAGCACTTCCGTTTGGTCAGCATAAAAGCCAGGATTGAATGGCACCTCAGTGCTGATCTGCTCCCCAGAGAAGTGGCTGCCTTGGATCGAAGCTGTAACTTTGAGGGCAGTTTTACTCATGCTGAGGTGCTTCAGCTGCTTGTCAGTAAGTCTGTGCATTGTGATGGAACAGGTGTACTGCCCTACAGAATAAAAAGCAGTTTGACTGTTAATTGCTCACCTTCATGTTTTGTTCTCCATGCAGACTGGGACTTCTGTGACATCTTGGGGGGCCCTTTTTACAAGGGCCTGTAGTGCCAGGACAAGGGGTAATGGGTTTAAATTGAAAGTGGGGAGGTTTAGATTGGATATCAGGAAGAAGTTCTTCCCGGAGAGGGTGGTGAGGCACTGGGACAGGTTGCCCAGAGAAGCTGTGGATGCCTCATCCCTGGAAGTGTTAAAGGCCAGGCTGGATGAGGCTTTGAGCAACCTGGTCTAGTGGAAGGTGTCCCTGCCCATGGCAGGGGGGTTGGAACTGGATGATCTTTAAGGTCCCTTCCAACCCAAACCCTTCTATGAGTCTATGATCTTTAGAGAACAGTTAAAAAAGGTGGTAAAATTGAATGAAGAGCAAGATTGGGAGCGCATAGGTGAATGTGACAGTGTGTCTGTGGGTCCAGGTATCACAATCCCAGTACTAGAGCAATAGAAGATATTTCTTGTGCCTAACTAAACATCATGATCAAAACACTAAAGTGGCAGTTTCCAGTTGCATTTTATTTTAATGTGCCAGTGAGACTCAATTCCACTTTAAATACATTTATACTAATATTTATAGAAAGGCTTTACTGAAAACAAAATTTAACATCTTATTTCATATTTTCTTCCTCTAATGTTTAAATTTTAGTAAGTTACCACCACAATCATCAGTTCTGTGGAGACATAGTTTATTATTTATAAAAACCTCTTTAAAGGTTAGCTATTCACCATGTTTCTAGTCTCTTATGGGACCTATTGCCTATTATTAGCAATGAAGACACTAAAAAATTCCCCCAGTGTGGAAGATACAAAGCATAAGTAACAAGCAGAACTTCCTTGGTACATGTTTTCCCCTTATTTTAAAAAAAATCCCTAAGGAAGTAACAGAGGCAGACACTATTATGCAAGGTATAATACTGTTTTACACGATGGGTACAGGGACTAATCTAACAGATAATTAACGTTATTTCCATACAGTCCATGGTGTTTTCTGTCCTTTTTAAATCGTATTACAGCCATGAAACACTAATGCATGTTGTAGACTTTCACAATTTTATTTCCATTTCCACAGTATCTGGTAATTTCCCCTCCTTTTAAGTCCCAGTTCATGTTGTTTTAAGGTATACATAAGAATTCTATCTTTTGTAAGAAATTACAGCACTAAGGTTGTGCAGGGAAGTTTAAAAGCATGATAAAAATCCAGGAATGTTTAAATCACATTTCGAATTATTTGTATTCTGCATTACTTTCACCAAATTTTCACATTCATGCTATTTCCCTCATTTAATCACTGAGGTTAGTTATACCGCAGTAACTAGAGTGGCAGGGCTTTTAAATGTGCATCAAACACAATGAATACTGTAGAGCATAGTTTGGTGAAATCTGAAGATCCTTAGTACACACACATTAAAACTCATGATTGCTTCTCTTATGCCTAGTTTAACATCCACTGCATGTACCTATTTGGAAAAGGCATTGATGTATGGCAAGAGAACACGTGAAAGAGCCACCAGATGTTTACAGCTGCAGACACACCGAATCGTGGCAATATTTGTCACCTGAGTGCTCATTTGTGCCAGCTGAAGGAGGCAGTGGTTTGCTTCCGTACAAAATGCAGATAACCATCCTGACATTCTTTTCTGAATTGTTATCCACAAGGCAAACTAGTTTTTGTACAGGTCAGCTGCAGTAAAATGCGGCAGCTCTTACAGAGTGTGCAACCCTAGTGTACCAAGTCTACATTCTCCAATACCGTCACTTCTGTCTCTAGGTACCACTGAGCTGTCTGCATACCTACAAATATACAGCAATGTGCAAAATTAGGACCTAAATTTGTAGTAAAAAGACATGTCAAGGTTTGGTTTTCCCACCCTCGAGTAAAAGAATGTTTCTGGGTTTCTTCCTGACTTACTACAACTCTGACAAACATATGAAAAGGGATGCCACTGGTTTCGTGGCATCCTTGAAAACAAACATGCTTTTGTCACAGGCAGAAAACCCACAGTTAAGCAAGGAGAGTACATGTTAACAACTCACTGAAGCCTGAGATCCTACCCAGCAAAGCTCAGAGGCTTCAGAAGGAAATCTGCTGGGTCAGAGGGGATTTGGACTAAACCACAGCAGAGTTCAAAGTGGCTGCCTGGACTGTGGCATCTTGTCTCATCTTACCTGAAACTGCATCAAATCCAGGTTCTGCTATAAAAATATCACGTGCTGGGAAGTCAAATGCATCACTGTTAAAATCTAGATGGCAATCAATAATGGACTGTGGATTTAATTCAGCAATGGCTTCAATCTGAGCAGGCACGCACTCCCCTAAGGGGAAGAAAAAAGTTAATTAATCTCCAATTAATTAATTAGAAAATAAAATTACAGCTAATTAATTTTAATTAAGTAAAAGCAAAAATCATGGCATGAAATATGAGGTTATTCTGCCACCTTCTGAAATTGTTTCACAAGGTTATAATGATCTAAAAATAGCTGGAAATCATAGACAGCTGTCCTATCGCAGGTCTAATCCCAAGAGACAGCAAATGAAAATTTTATGTGTTGTGGGTTTTTTTTGACAGGAATAATTTATTTACAGGAAAGAATGAACTAGAGAGAGTTTTCAGCTCAAAGTGTCTACTGAATAACTTATGTGATCCTGGGAGTCTCGATTTATATTTTAATATCTGGCAAGATGGATTTTTGGTAGGCTAATAATTTACAGATAAGGCACAATAAAATACTACTAAAACAAGCCCGAAGTGTTACACCAAAAACTAAAAGGAACTATAATCAAACAAAATGCAGCTTATTAAACAGAGGACACAATATGATGCTTCATTTGTGTATTGATTTTAATTGCTGATAATAACTGTAATAGTTGAGGACAGTTACTTTAAACACGTTCAGTAAGAAAAAACAGTAACTTCAAGAGGCAATTGGAATTAAACATGTAAGCAAACAATCAGCTGATTGCCTAGTAACTGTTTTTTGATATGATAAAAAAAAAAAGGCATTTCTATTATCTACAGATTTTATCAGTTGTGAAATCTTAACAGTGTCCCAGAACACCCTCTAAATTCTGTCATATGGCCGTAAGATTCTGCTAGAGCTCCTGGGATTCCGGAAAGGCACTAGAGATTCAGAGAGATCCTGCTACACCAGCTTCACAGACCCTTAAAAAACAATCAAAAAACCCAAAACACAAACCAAACCCACTTATGAATAGACAAACATGCAATAAACAATTAGCATAAAGATATTTTTTTCATCATACCTTTCAAATTTTTATTTCTTTCCCCAATCGAAACTATTACTTTTGAGGCTGCAACTCCTTTTAAGCTTGTTTTCACTCCACTTAGATGCATTGCTGTAGTCCTCTGCGGTATATTAATCAATACCTGAAAAAAAAGGATGAAGTACATTGTTACCAAAACCTGCTTTAACAAATAAAAATGAAGGCGAACTCAGTCTGTGGATTGATTGTGAACTGCACACACCCTTGGATGCACAATGGAAGACTCCAAGAGGTTTTGTTTCTCTTTATAAGAAAACCTACATTTCTCAAATTTTAGAAACTGCCTTCCAAGGCAATTTAAACTACTACAAACATTTTTTTTTTCTTTCTAGCCAAGCCCCCTAAATTAACAGGCATAAAGCTCAATGTCTAATTTTAAATTAAAAATAATGTCTAGTGCTTCTGTTAGCTGAAACAATAAATTGTGTCAACAGTACAGACTGCACTATGGATAAACAACCTAACTGCGTAGTTCTGATCAGTGATGCACAGTAATAAGGTGGAACACTTCAGAAGGTTCTTGCTGGCACCTCATCTTGCAGTGAAATTTCATTCATAAAAGCGGCCATATTCAAGAATTGTTTAGCACCTGGGAACAACTTAGCCAAGCAAAGGAAACAGAAAGTACAATGTAAGAACCCTACAGGCTGTAGGGTTCTAACAATAGAAACTGTTATGCTGAATTTTCTCCTTAACATAGATGATTAAAGAAAAAAACATGACATGTTTGGACAAATATGTTCCAAGCCATTTGCACTTCTAATACTTTTTCCTTTAACAAGAATGTTTCTAAATATTTATAACAAAACAAAACCAAACCAGAACAAAAATTGCAGGACACATTTTTGGTGCGGGTCCACCCAAAGTAAGCCAACTTCAGCAGTTCTGGTAGGATTTAACAGTGCCTCACCTCTCTGTATGTTTTCAGCAATCCAGGAATCTCATAATAGACAGTGACAACACCAGAATCCCTTGCCACTGCTACACCAGTCTTGGAGTCGACTTGAAGAATGCTACTTAATGAGGAGCTCCATACGCCCGGCAGGCCTGAGAAGACACACCATTTGGACACTCTTCTACAAATTTATGCTAGCTGAAACACATGTTCACCTTGGTGTCCGTCTGTATGTACCCAGAGAATGGGCAGCATGGGTACACACGCTTCCCAGTTCACAGGAACTAGATGCTAGGATCTCCTGTGGTGGACGGCTGGCAGCCCAACACCAAACTGACCTGCAGCTACTCTGACAAAAGCTCATTAATACTAAGAATCAAATACAGTGAGTGAAGTCAGACAGTCCTGACTCGGCATGATTCCCATAAAAAACAAGCCTTTTGAGCTAACGGAATGGAAATGTCTGTAGACTGATGCTCATGAATTCCATACAAGCGACATATTGCACAGTACAATTAAAATTAGAGGAGTTGATCAAACCTATTTTTGTCATTAACAAGAACAGTGACATTTGATTCTGAATAAACATCATAAATTATGCATTTAGTTTTCCTGAGAATGAGAAAGAGTCACACTGATGTCAAATTACATAGCTGCAAAAACACAGCAGCTGAAGTGCCACTTACCTTCTTGGTTTATCAGTGAAGTACTCAAACAGAGGACATCACCTACCACCACATCTGTGAGTTCAGGAAAAATGGCATGTTGCACAGGCAGGGGGACGTAGTCTGCAATTCCACTGTGTTCGGCATCCCAGACTTTAAGTAAGGTCAAACCTACGTTTACCGTCCGGATTACAAACGTGTTGTTTGTGGCTCCTTTCCCAATCTGTACAAAGTCATCTCTACAGATAAAAAGAAATGCTGTTATGTTAAGGCAAGTTTACTAATGGCATTATCTCTACAATAAATAGTAAGGCGTTGAACCATTGTTAGATGGCTGACTTCTTTTTCAGCGATGGTCATCTTCTAATGAAGTTTGACAAAATAAGGAAAACACAAAAATTATTTAGGTGCTGCTGAGGCCAATTTCAGTTCTCACATCATTATGCTGAGGAAATAGTGAGGTCATAATTACGTATGAGAATTATTTCCTAATTGTAAGAATTGTAGGACTTTAGAATGAGGTATTCAGCCTCCTTTCCCTTTTCTCAGGGAGTTAAGCAGCAAAGAAATTTAAAGACCAATGCGCAACTTGCCAGACGTAACTTTAAAAAGCTAAATCACACGTGCTTGCGAGTTCTGGTATTCACCAAAATTCAGCATTCCCAAATGCCCTGTCGCACAGAGCACTTAAACACCCAGCAGAGACTGACACCCTGGCAGCAGCATGCAGAGACTGAAGGTCTTGACAGCAGCAGAGCTGGGTCACCACAGTGCTGCACTTGAGGTTAATGAGCAGTGCTGCTCCCTCTCGGGCTAATCATTAGCCCTGTGCTGAAATAGCTCTGTCATGTCTATTTTGGAAGCTAGGGCAGTGTTATCTCAGGGACCTCTGTATGCTATAGAAACTTCTGCAGATTGTTTAGGTAGGAAAAGGAAAAAATTGTGCATTCAATCCCTTTCCCCCCCCCCCTTCTAATCACTGTGCTGTAACTGCAAGGTGCTCTGCAGCAAACAAACTATGTTACAGTAACGGAATTAGTGAGCATTTAGTAATGACCAAAGAAGGCTGCTTTACAGTATTTACTACTCTTTGAGGCAGAGACCAAAAGGCCTTTTGAGGCTTGGCTGTGCTGTGCAAAGGCTGTACAAGCATATCTGAAGAGACAGCCCCTGATCCAGAACATTTACTCTCTTATATAAGACATAAGTGAGTCAGTGTAACAAAGCACTAGGAGAGAAGAGGCAAGATGAGGCAAATGCTAGAAAGATCAATTGTTTATATAGGCCACTGATGTATGCGATCTGATGATTCAGTCACTTAAAGTAAAATTGCCCCAGCACACCCTGCTGGGGATCATGCCTATCTGGGCAACTTTCCACTTGCTAGAAAATATCGACTGCTAGCTGGAACTAGTCTTTCTGCCACAGTGCCTCTGAAGACTGCAGAGACAAAATCCTCTCTTTGCTAATCCCAGTCCAAGCTCTATCTTCACTTGATATCTCTGGAACAATCTTTGTTCCTTGCTGTGGCTGGGCTACGTGTAATTAACATGCGTGGCAGATACTTACCTGTTTGTCGCAAAGTTGAGCACAGAGTTATGCGAATGAAAAGTATCTCCAGAGTTGTCATGAAAATGGACTGTAAATGTCAGTGTCACACCCAGGGGGAGAGCCAGTAATGCCTCTTTGTTTCGTGTATGCAGAATAGGACTCATGGAGACTCTTAGGTATGAGATCGGGTAGACCTGTAAAAACATCAGCAGTGAAAAGCAAAATTAAATTGCTTATTCTGATGCCTCTTTGAAGTCTTCTACAAGGGTTCTTGTTATGCAAATATACAAAGCTTCCTTTACGAACCATTTGCTGTATGTTTAGCCATATGACAGTACTGGGACATGGAGCTTTTATTATCAGTACATATCTTTCACAGAACAGCTGAAGTTGAAAGGCACCTGTGGTCCAGCCACGGCCCCCTCCCCCCCCAGGCTGTGTTACCTAGAGCCAGAACTCTGTGCAGGCAGGACTTAAGCATCTCCTAGGATGGAGACTCCACAATCTCTGGGCAATCTGTGCCAGTGTTCAACAGCCACCACACTATAAAAGTGCTGTCCTGTGTTCAGACAGAATTTCATGCGTTTTTGTGTATACCCTCTTGCTCTGTCATTGAGCACCACTGAGAAAAGTCTGGCTCGGTCTTCTTTACACCCTCCCATATGACATTTCTTAGTGTTTAATAGCACTGGGAATTGAAGCAAGCCATAATGATGTAGAAACACATATCACAGACTTCAGAGACAACATTATTATCCTATAAATTAAAACTGTTAGGACTCTCTGGATAAGCCAGAGAACAAGTTGCCCCTACACTTCTCTCCCAGTAATTCCTGGAATAAAACGTGTAATTCATTCCCCAAAACAGGAGTAACTTGCAACACATGTGAGAGTATAGGGATGAAGTGGTCACTGTTTCCCCAGTTCTCCTGCACCAGGTGGGAAGCCAATACATGCAGTTTCTAACAGTCTCTGTTTGAGGGAAGGTTAACCCATGGGAGGAAACAAGCGATAGCTGCAAAGTGATCTCTGTCAATCAACACCACAGACACTGCAAACTGCTGTCCCTCAAACAGGCCCACAGCGATCTGACAGGAGTTCCAGAGGTAGGAAGGAACACCACCCACGATCCTTCCCCTTAAGGTGTGTGCTGGGTGGTTCTTCAGACCCATCGCTGCGCACATGCACCTTCAGAGTGCTGGCTGCATGCTTCCGCAGCCAGGCCGGCCTCTGAGGCATGGGCTGGGAGGAGTTAAGTGCAGCAGACACAAGCAGCCAGCACTGGCATCAGACCGACCGGTCAGCAGGTGCCTCAGTACCTGTCAACCAAGACAGACGTTAGGAACTAAATCTGGATTCTTGATAAAAGTCTGCTAGATTATCCGGATGTGCACATCCCTACATGTTTGCAGTAAAACTCCAATGAAGGAAGTTTGTCTGAAGACAAAGACGTCAAACTTCTGTTTTGTTTTTTAAATAACATATTACTATTCCTGATTAACTTACCTAGGTTAACTAGCAAAATTACCCAACAAAACCAACTGTAGCTGTTCTGTTACAGTTATTAGAAAATAAATAATGGAAAGATAGAGAAAGCAAAACCCCTGAAATATATAAAGTATTCTTAAAAGAAGCCCTCAAGCTTATCTAGCAGGAAAATCCCTTTTTTCTGACCCAAGAGGCTCAGCTAAAATGTAAAACTGCAATCTCAAAATGTACATGTCAAAACTTAAAAAGGAAAGGACAAATTTGGCCTCAAGCAAATAGCATCTTTCATGAATCTGAAAAAAAAAAAATAGCTAGAATATCAGTATATACAACTGTCTAATCCACAGGCTGATATAATCAGTTAAAACAGCAGTGCATATAGTCATCTGCCCAACTAGCTGAGGTTACAAGCTAACAAAAAATGCCATTTCCCTGACAGATTTTCAAGCTTACTTTACTTTAAAGTCTCAGAAACTGTTCCACAAGGGACAACTGCTAAATTTAATATTGATGAAAACAGTTATTTACTGTTAAAGCATCTCAGTTCTTAACGTATTTTTATTAAAAAAAAAAAAAATTTTTTTTTGAGCACAGCCGTACAGGGAAGTGCATAGCTTGCTCCCATGCTAAGCATCCTGTCACTCCTCACTTCTACTGTCCTCCTTGGATTATATAAGATAGTCTTTTTTTTTTGAGCAAAGTTGAAGGTCTAAGTGTTAAGTGATGCTGCTGCAGCAGTTTGGGTCTTAATTGTGTACAGTTGTAAATAGACAAAACAAGAGCTTATGAAAGGAAGGACAGTGTGAAGGAGAGAGCTCTGCCTTAGAATGACACAACAGATTCAAGCTCATCTCCCACTCTGTCACAAGTTTTTCCTCATGACCTTCAGCAAACTTTCTCTCAGTTCTTCATCCATAAAACGAAGGCAGCAGCAGTGTATTAACCTCGCAGTAACCTCGTGAGGTTAAAAGTGTTATTTCTATAAAAGTAGCATAGCCCTAAGAAGTACAAGAAAACAAAATCAGTTGTACAAGATGCTAAACTGAGATGGTTCCTCCTCTAAAGGAGCTGAGTATCATCGTGCACTGATTCCACATTTCTGCGCTATCTGCGTTATGGGAAGAATGCACAAAGGGGGAATTTAGCTTCAGTATCGCTATATGCTGACTATGTGTCATCTGAGCCAACCCCAAACTCATGTCTTTCACTCGCTGCATCCAGCAGTGAAGGAAAGAAGCAAGGTCATCTATAACAGAGCTATAGAAATTCTGCCACCACCTAGCAGCAGGAGTGGTGTTGGTGAAGCTAAGCCACCATTTCCTTTCTCATTCTCCACCCAGGAGGACAGACCTATGCGCTGTCCTACAGACAAGGACAAACATCATGGTAAAAACAAAAATTCAAATAATAAAAACATCCCCCCCAAACATCAAGCCCCTTTGTTATAACAATAACTTTCAAATAATTTAAAGTCAGCGTTCAATTGTAGGTTTATCTCCTTTAGCTGGACACAGGAAAGATGCTGCCAGAGTGGGAAGGGGCAAGAGGAAGTGCAGCAGTGGGTATCTAAAGGCCCATGTTGCTAGATGTACAAAGTTCTTAGCACAAGGATTTCTGAACAGTGCCCAACCAGTAAGATACATTAGACTTCAACATAACAGCGTTCACTCAACAGAAGAAGTTTTGAGAAAGAAACATGTTTCCAGGCTAAATGAAACAAACTGCTGCGTTTTGCTACAGACTTGTCCTTCCCTGAAGCGTCCATATTTCAGTGTTAGCCCAGGCACACAGTGCAGCCTTGCACATCCTTCTTCCCAGCTCACCAAGTACAGGCAACAGCAGCTGAACCTTTGCATCTGATAAGACAGGTTCTCTCAGGCAGACATTCTCATTATATGTAAAAGCTGAACTGCTGGGAAACAGCAGAGAAAGTGAAATTTTCAGGCACTGTACAGTTATCTCCCTAGTATCCTGAAAACCTAGGTATCACTTAGGTACCTCATAACAGATGCTGCATTAATATTCATTACTCCAGACCTTTTTCACACACTGCAACTGCTTGTTTATGACATTAGCATTTCTCTTTATTTGAACTTCTGTAATTATCAGCCTTCTAAGAGATTTTTAGGACAAACTTCATTTTTGTTTTTAAGGCACATGCACACAAAGGCCTTTCGAAGTGTACTAAATTTATGAATTCGCTGGGATTTAACATTTACCCATCTAGTTTAGGGTACTAAACTTTTTTCAAGGCTCAGAACTGACTATTAATCCCTATACTTCATAATTTTCAGAAGCAAAGTTCAAAATACACAGTTAACCATCCCTGTTGCAATAGTAAAATTACACCTCCACTAGAAAACTGCAAAGAAAGAGAGACAATACTACCTTAACAGCAGCTACAATGGTCTGGTTGATCCCAAATGACTCTTGTGAAATCACTTCAATTGTTGATGAGCCTATCAAAGACCCAGAGTTAAGGAAACCTCTCTCATCCACTTTTACAACAGGAACTTTATCTGGTCCATCCAGGACACGGTAACTCAGTGAAGCCACTCGGTCTCTTAAGAAAACAAACAAAACAGAAAAACAGGGGACACCCTTAAATGAATAAAAACATTTATACCAATATATTATGCAAATCCAGAAGATGGCTGTTTGGTATGCGGTTTTTCCCACGTGTCTGCAGTAAAAGCTGAAAAGCCTGTGTTCCAGTTTAAGAAAAGCAAAGTTTATGTTCTCATTCAAGCTCACCAGAGGTCAGTCTGATCTAGGTATAGGCATGGGTATAGAAATCTAGTTTCCATCCCCTGCCCCGCAGCGTCACCATTCACTGATGTGAACTTGACTCCAAATAATAGTGGCTAAGGCTACAACAAGCAGCTGCGGCCATTATTTTCTGTAAACAATATTTAGAGGGATATTAGTCTACTAGGGCCAAGGCTGGCAATAGAGATAAAGTCAGAGATGTGATTATTTGCATCTCATCAGTTTCCTGGAAACTTCCAGCTTTGTAGACAATGTCAATTTTTGAAATAACTCTCACCATGTTATTTGCATATTAATACAGTGAGCAAATACATAAACTGTAATTAGTGGGCATTTTGAGACATTAGGTACTTTTAAGTATCACATATCACATCTTCTAAAAGATTTGTGAATGTTTGGATTTTTTTCCCCCTCCCAAACTCCTCCATTCACACAGAAATACTTTATCCTAGGAAAAAGGCATTAAAGATGGATTTCAGTTGTGCTTTTCTTTGCCACTGTGTAATTGTTTTTGGTGGTAGAACTCAGACACAGGGGCTTCGACACTAGATAGTGAAGTTATTGCAACAAAGAAATGTACAAACTGACATCTAGCAACTCAAATGACTAATTAATCAGAAAAACTGCAGAAGAGAGAGCAAAACAACATTAGTAAGTGACTACAAGTGACAGGACTCCTATACAACTGTTTCAAAAGCAGATGCTGAATGACTATGGTCACTGGAGATCCACTGAAACTAACCATTCCCTCCCCTTAAAAAGTAAATGTATGTAAAGCCTCACCCTCAGCACATGCCCTGTTGGGACAGGGGCTGTTTAACATCT